CAGCGAGATCCCCGACAGGGGTGAGAGGGACCCCTTATTTAGGGCAGGAGGCTCTCCCCCAGCAGGGGTGTGAGGGACCCCCAATTTAAGGCAGGAGGCTCTCCCTCATTTATTGCCAGGCATGCAGCGAGACACCCCACATCCCTGTGGGCAACAACTACCAAGGAGGCCTCCAGTCTCTGTCCCGGGTCCCAAGGAGCCAGAGGAGACTCCACCCAAAACTTTCAATTCAGAAACCAAGCCACCTGGACTCTTGAGAGAGGTAAGGAAGACCGGTCATTAATCTGGAATTGGGACATCCCACGGAAGGACCTATACGGAGGGCTGGACTCAGCGGTACTCCTGGTCCTTACCTGCGGCCACGATGGTAGCCGGGGTCCTTGGTTCGTGTGGCTTTAGGCTGCACCGGGTTTGTCTGTCTGGTGTTTGTTGTCTGGTGTTTGTTGTCTTTGTTCTTTGTTGTCTTTGTCTTTGTCAAAATGGGTTAGGGTCAGTCATCTTCATTGACCCTCTATCAATCAGGCCCACTCCAAGTGAGTGGAAGGGGAGCTTGATCACCTCCCGGGAAGCCATGGAGCTCCATTAGGCAATTAGTCAGGAATTGGTTGGATTGCTTAAACTCTAAATAAACATTTGGTAGAAGTCAAAAACTTGGACTGTCTGGTGTATGAATGTAAGTGTAAGTGTCTATATGAAGCAAAAGCTACTTTGTGCTGTCTGGATGTACACATAAGAGTATTTGTTATTCTTTCTGTTGTTTGTTTAAAGATAGGGCAAACTGTGCTTTAAGGGGAAGAAAGTAGAGAACTTTTAATTGCTTTTCCCTAATGTATAATTTTGCTGTGTTAGGTTAACATTTTAGAAGTCTAGGGTTAATTTAAAGGTATAAGGTTGCAACCCAAAGAAGTTTAAACAAAGGCTTATTAGTTTAAGATTAGTACATTTTCTTATAACCTGTATAGGGTGAGGGAGAGGGACTGCTGTATTTTTATCATGTGGTCCCGAGACCTACGGCTTGCCTGCCCTTCCTGATATTTTTACAATATGACTCTGTTGGGGACAGCATCCGCTCTAACTGGGGGAGGAAGAGAGCTGAAAACTGCTCTAGCGCGGGTGTGAAATGGGGTAGTAGTGGTAGGATTCACTAGATAGGGTGGTAGGCTCTCAGCCTGCTGAGAAGGAGGAGCCCTAGGCTGGGGAACAGGGGGATAGTCAGACAGGTCAAAAGTGGTAAAGGAGGAGAGGAATTTGAGCCTCTGGGGCTTAGAGTAGAGAATGAAAAATCTAGGAGAGAGAGCAGCTAAGGAAATGGTTAATGCAGAAAAGAGGAGGGCTGTCGGCCAGGAAAGCAGATCAGAAGTTTTGTTGATTTTTACTTATCTGAACTGTGCTGGATTCAAGGCCGAAAGCTGCTACTGAGCACAGTAAGTTTTTCTCTGCCCCGTTTTGTTCTCTTTAACCCTTCCAACATTAAATTAGACTAATACAATCTAAGAAATACTGGCTATTTACTTTATAGTAATCATTAAAGGATTGAGGTTTCTAAGAATAAGGAATTACTGAGTAGAAGGTCTGAGGCATAGTTATGCATTTTTAAAGGACATAGAAAGAAGGTTTAAAGGATAATTTAAAAGTATAAAATTTAGAAAGGTTGTGTATGTGATAAGAAGGAGAAAAGAAATATGGAAAGGAAATTAACCAAATGGTACAGGACAGTAAGCCAGAGAGAGTAAATAGTAATGCCAACGTACTTAGAGGGGACTAATAAAAGAAATACAACAGTTACTATTTTGTTATTACTCTGGAGAGTCCTTAAAAAGGACTGACAAGGAAAATCAGAAGATCATAAGGCAGGTCAGTGGCTTTTTCTCCTTATATAATTCCTCCGAAATTTGGCACTGCTAAATAAATCATGGCAATACATTTCTTTGCATAAATTCAATAAAACCGGTTTCCAATAGTGGTTTTAATAATTAGAAACTTTGACTGGAGTAACATATTTTAAAGAGCCCTGTCTGAGCTCTGAAGACTTGAAGCCAATAAGAGTGACATGGAGAAAGTCTGGTATCCTGCTTGGGAGCCCTGAAAATAGCTGGCGCTGGCATCAGGCCATGCCCTACCATCACTGGCTGTTGGTCAGAGTAGAAGGGGAGCATGGAACCCCCATGCACTCTGGGCCAAGATGAGTAGGAGGGCTGCTGAGAAGGGCCTTGAAGCAAGGAAAATGAGCAGCAGATACTGCAAGCAGGCCAGATGGCAGCTGGATGGCTTGGCTTCCTGGCCCTATGGAGCACATTAAGATTCAATCATAGGCTTGGCAATGCAGCCTGCTGATGAGTGGGGCCCAGCAGGCCTCCAGCTGTCACAGGTCAGCTAAAGAGGAGCCACCTGTGTCTCCCCCACTCCTGCTTCCTCCTCCACGCTAGGGCTAGGGCACCAGACACAAGCCAAGCCCCTCACAGCTGGCCTGCTGGTTCCTGCCAGGGTTCCCTCTCAGCCCCCAGGGCCATAGTCATCAACTGTCACTAAATAATGAATATTGCTGAACTCTCGGTGTGAACCCGTTGGTCCACATCTGGCGGCCTCTTTTAAGAGCGACACCTGCAAGCCACATGCCCTGGAAAGGCAGGGTGAGGAGAGTCACCAGTTCCGCAGTTGGGGTGTCACCCTGGCTCTCCTAGTCCTTGCAATGCGACCTCAGGAGAGCTGCCTGGCCTCTCGGGATCTCATTTGCAAAACGAAGGGCAAGAAACTCACAGTTTGGAAGAAGGTTTATTTATTTAACGAGAGAGAGTGAGAGAGAGAGAGAGAGAGAGAGAGAGAGAGAGGAACATCGATTTGTTGTTCCTCTTATTTATGCGTCTGTTGGTTGATTCTTATATGAGCCCTGACTGGGGATCCGCCCTGCAACCCTGGTGTGCGTGGAGGACCTTCTAACCAACTGAGCTACCCGGCCAGGGTACCACACTGCAGCCAGTAAATCAGGGAAGTTAATAAGGGCCTGGAGAAGTTAAAGGGATAAAACAATGGAGAGAATGGAAAAATGAAGGAAAAGGAATTTGTGGATATTTTTCAGTATCTTTTAAATGGAATAAATAATATGCATAGCAAAAAAAAAAATTCAATCATAAGATTCCAGCAAAGGTAGTCGGTTACCATTCTTGTTATGTTTATGCAAACAATCAGGCCAAATTGAATACAGTAAATAAATTAGTATTTTAATAAACAGAGGGGTAATTTTAAGGAGAAAAACTCTATTTCAATAGAGGATATTAAAACTGAAATGTTTTCTTTCCCTCCCACCAGACCATTTGTTATAGTTTGTCTCCGCCAGGTCACAAGCCCACCACTTTCTCTGCCCAGGCCTCATCGTCCCTCTGACAGACAGCAAGGATCCCTTGGCTCTGAGAGAAACTTCTGACCCTCGTCAGCTCGAAGCAGTTACAGAAGAAATCCAACAACCATTTTCCCTGAAAGAATTCAGAGCCAGGATCCTTGAGGTAATATAGTAGGCAGTTAGACAGACATGAGCAGAGCAAGGACGATGGGCCGAGTGGCACAGACTCCCCAGAAGCAAGAGGGAACTAGGCTGCAGACGAAGCTGCCCAAGAGGCTGCCCTAAAACCAGTGGGGCCTTTACAGGTTCTAGTGACTCTTCCAGACCCTGAACTACTCATCTCACCAGTTTACTCAAGTTCTTTCAGGTTTTACATTCTACCTAGAAAGCAGACCAGAAGCACGTCCGAGATAATCTGCCTGTATCCGGTTCATCCCTTCCAACCTGGTGACTCTGTTTGGGTAAAGAAATTTTCCAGCCAAGGACCGACTCCTGCCTGGAAAGGACCACCCCCACGGCAACCAAGGTCGACAGGATCCTGACATGGCTTCATCACACCATGCTTAAGACAGCACAGGCAAAATAATAAGTTCAGGACTCAGTGGGTCCTCATTCCAGGCCCTTATCTTATAAACAGTCCCACTGACTTTATTCGGCAAAGAATTAATTCTATAGTCCTCAGCGGTCAATATAACTCCCTCCCCAATAATAACCCAGAAGAGTCAATGATTTGACTCATGTACATAAAAACAGTGGGGAATGTGCTGGGCTGCATAAGTGGCGCTTTGGACCGATGGGTCATGCTGTGCTGTTTGTTCCTAAAGCACATAGATAGGAAGGTACTGACATCAGGCCAGGCCTTGAGATATGGTCTCATGGCCCCTTCCCAGCACACAGGCCTTCTTTCTCAGAAAGCCCAGATGTCTTGTTCCAAATTTGGGAGACAAAGGACTAGAAAAAGTATAAATAAAGAGAGTTTCCTCCATATTGGGGGGCCCAAAATTTGAAAGACACATTTTTCTCTGGGCCTCCACAGAATTTAATAGTAAAATGTAACTTTTGCAGTCAGCGTTGCAATTCGGCCTCTGCTCCGGCAGGGTGCTGTAACTAGTCACTGGCCATGGAAGTTGGCAATGCAGTTCAGCCTTTCCTTCGGCAGGGTGCTGTAGATGTAGTCAGCTGGCCAGCTTAATAAAGGCTCTTAAATTTAAATTCTTAGTTGGTTTTCTATCTCACTGAGTAAACCCATAACAGCCCAAGATCTCTTGCTCTGAAGGGAAAAGTCAAATGTGCCCTGACAGTTGAAAATGACCAGGAACTTGATGCCCCAGGCCAGTGCTTTACTAGGCACATGTCTGTGCATGTGTAAGTGTGTGTGTATGTGTGTGTGTTGTCATAGGCTTCAGGAGTTTCCAAGGAACAAAAATACAGAGTAAAGGTAAACTCAAAGGGGCAACAGGGTTGGAAAAAATGAGGGGAATGTCTTGGGCCCTGACCCCGCCCTGGCCCACATGAACAGGGGGGTTATCTTGTCCCAGCAAGAGGCTCAGCACACAGGGAGGAGGGAGAGCACATCCCACCAGTCTGGACAGAGGTGTCTGGGAGCCTTACTGGACATAGCGCTCTTCTCTCAGAGAAAGGGACGGAGCAGGCAGCAGTCCCCATGGAGTTCCCTGTAGCTTCTGCCCTCATAGGACGTGTCCCCTTGCTGGGGCTCCTGCTGGCCGGTAAGGAGGGGACATTCCCTGGGAACGGAAGGGAGGTTGGGAGTCAGAGACTGGCCAAGATCTCCTGCGGAGTACAGCATTCTGTGAGGGAAGGAAGGGCTTCCCTTTGGACTTCAGTGAAAAGACAGGTGTGCAGAGTAGGATGAGAGAGGGAGCTCAGCAACAGGAACATCTGATCATGTGGAAGTGGTGAGAGGTAGGAAAACCTCAATTGTGGTTCATTTGCTAAGTTATTGTTCACTGAGTATTAAATTTTGACAACTGACCACAGTCATGACAATTTATTTCAGATGATACCAGAATCATTTTAACCAGGGGTGGTAAAAATTTTCCCCACCACCAGCTACAAATATGGGAAAATACAACATGGGACGTGGACAAGACTGGGAACACTCATCCACTCACCAACAGGTGTTTGCAGCCTATTGCAGGCACTGGGGGCACAAGATCACAAAATCCCCTGCCCATATGCAGCTCACATTACATGGGGAGAAAGGAAACAAGAAGAAATCTACTTGTGACTACAGGTACCCACAAGTGCCCTGAAGCGCACAGCAGAGACAGGTCAGAGAGTGAAGATAGAGGGTCTTTAGAGGACGTGGTCAGGGAAGGACCTCCAAGAAGGCCACCGAGTGTCAACAGGGATCTGAGGGAAGTAAGGAGGACAGCCACACAGACAGCTGGGAAATAGAATTGAAAACAAGAAGCTTAGGTTCCCAGGTGCTGAAGCCATTGTGGCCATGTTGTTTACCTTGACAAAGGAGATGCCCACATGAACTCACATGAAGACTAAGGCTGAGAGATGAAGAGAAATGCCTCATCTCTCCATCCCAATAAATAGATCAAAATACTGATCAATTTCTCTCTTCCCTTCTAGTCTTCCTCTTAACCTACTGGATCCCGCCCACCACTGCTGGATTTGCTATTGTCTCGACCATTGCATTTGAAGGGGAGGATGTGATTCTAAGTCTCCGCAATATGCCTCCCGATGTTATAAAGATTATTTGGTACAGGGAAATAGAGATGAAGTGCCATAATTTCATTGCATCTCGTGCATGGTATTCCAGTGAATATCTAACAGGTCCCAAATACAGTGGTCGAGAGGAAATAAACCTTGACGGATCCCTGATCATAAGAAACGTCACTGTGAGGGACCAAGGAGTTTACATCGTAGTAGCCGTCCTTCCAATGTCACGAAGAGTAAGAGGATTTGGATGGCTCAGTGTATACCGTGAGTGACTGCTCTCTGACCTCTAGGTGTTGGGTGGGGTGAATTCTACTTTACACACAGGACTGCCAGTCCTGGACTCTCCTCCATCCCCCTCTGCATCATGTCCCAAGCTGGGTTTGGGAATTTAGTTCAGGACACATGCAGTGGAGACAATCATCCTAAGGTCAGAGTTCCTTTCCCAGATTCCAGCCCCACAGACATTCACCACATATAGAAGGAGCAATTTGATGGGAGTGAGTAAGCAGAGGGAGACCAGTCTCAGTCCAGATCCCTGGGCTCCTTTCCCTGATCATGTCCCTGAGATAGAACCTGCAGGGTTCTGTAAGGACCTGGCCTGAGGGTCTCTCTTGGTTCTTCACAGTGAAACTCAGCTTGGGCAGCCCCTCTCCAGGCCCCTGCCACAATGTCCTGACTGCAGAGTCATTGGGGAGCCTGTGTCAGGTTCGGTTTTGCCTTCTGTGAAGGGCTGAGTGAAAGCAACATTTTCCCATGAGCCAGAGTCACAAGGCTCTTAATCTGGTCACCATTTGGGGCTGAACCCTCCTTCACCTGACACTGTGTGTGGAGAGTACAACTGGACGAGCTCCCCAGATTATTTTCTGACTGTTCTGGGGGACTTAGGAGAGTCTAGAGAAAGATCCGTGTCCCAAGGGAGGAACAGGAGAAAACATGCTCCTGGCAGCAGCTCATCCACAAGATATCAGCCCAGGGGATTCCCTAGTGAAGTCCATCAATAACAAATGCCTCTTATTTGAACAGCTTTCCTTCCAAATATTTATGTCAGATACTGTGAATATTTTATGATTAGTACATGGTCCGCCTATCAGTCAAATATTCATTTTGCTTCACTGAGGGGAAAGTGAGGCATAGGGAGATACAGTTCCTAAGCAGAATCCCAAAGACCATGAGAAATTGAACTGAGTCACTTGAGGTCTATCTGCAGCCATAGCCCCATCTTTTCCTCCAATCTCAGTGGCCTTTTTAGATGTCTTTGGATCCCTAGATCAATCATTGGTTCATATCCTTCCTACTTAGGCGTCTTCAGCTCAGAGGGGTAGATTTGGTCTAGGGAGTGATGGTAAATTTAGAATTAATTAATTTTTACTGTGGAAACAAATTACACTCAGAGCAATCAGAGTCAGGGCTGATATCTTTGAGGAAGGAGCATAGCCCCCGGTCTCAAGCCCACACTCAGTCATTCTCACCCTCTATTTCTTCACAGGGACACTGAGTGGGCCCACACTCCTAGCCAGCAACACCACAGTTACAGAGAATGAGGAAGCTGTGGTCCTGACCTGCTACACAGATGAGAGCTCCATCAACTGGTTATTCAATGCTATGAATCTTCCGCTCAGGGAGAGGATGGAGCTATCCCAGGACCACAGAACCGTCACCATAGACCCTGTCAGGAGAGAGGATGCTGGGATCTACCAGTGCAAAGTCTCCCAACCCTTCTTCTCCACTACAAGTTCACCTGTAGTGTTAGATGTCAAGTACTAGTGATCCTCCTCCCCTCCCCTATGTTCTTAAACTAAAATAAAGAAAATGCAGCTATTATATTTCTTGTGGTAGTGGAAATTGCTTAGAAGACTTGCTTTGAATCAATAAATACTAAGAAATGTGAGCTAGCATTGTCATTATTGTTGACGTAATGTAACATTCCACATTGGATCCCATCTCTGGTTGGTTCCATTTGCACCATCTCCACAATGGAGGGGACACCATGTGCTTCACAGGAGGGGCAGTTATTGTGTAATGACCCGCATGACTAATACATAAGCTGATAGGAACATGAACTCTCTCACATTTCCAGGGAGACCTGTGGAGGGCACCTGCACACTGCTGATGATGGGAATAGACAAGAGAACACCTATGTGAGATGCAACAGAGAACTTTGTCTTCCCCAAAGCTACTAATGCCCTCTGGAGTATTCTTAAGTTTGTGGCAATAGACTTATTTGCATAAGTTCAGTAGCACCCTGTCGTCTTTGTTGATAGAATAGAATTGGAAACTTTGGTAATATAAGAGATGCTTAGCAATATCTTAGTTCAAACTTATGCCCACAGAATTATATACGACCTCACCTACATGGAGCTATTTTTGACCTGTTGAAGACTCATAATCTGTTTGAGAGGAGGGCATCACCCAAAGCTAGAGAGACTACAGGTGAAGTGTGAGGGTGAGGCTGCCTAATCTCAAGAGGCTGTTAAATCTCCCATTTCAGGTTTCATAGAAAAACCTGCATCAGAGCAAAGTAGAACATGAATGTCATTCCTCTGCACTTAGGTCACTAATCAGAAACCAGCCATGTTGGAGGATGTAGAATACTCTTCTTCCTTGGAGATGAAGTTTGATCAAAGGGAAGGTGACTGTAGAGAGAAATGTAGTGTCTACATGGAAAACTCCAGAAGCACAGTCTTCTGGGAGATCAGATGCCATCTCTGTTCAGTCTCTCAACTAGTTGGCATCAATTTATAAATGGCTGGGAACTTGTACTTCTTTATAAATTGCAGGAATTGATGGCAATGCAAACTGGGACTTGGCTGAAAGGATTTAGTTGTGTTTGCCTACACTGTGCAGAAAGTAGCTGTGTTATGAACAAGAGGCCTCATTATTCCCTCAGAATCTTTAATTTTTCTTCCTGACTAGGATCCTCATCTCTAATTTTTTAGAATATTTCCTTTAGAAATAAATGTAACTTTAATTTGTACTTGCAGATTCTTTCTCTGTCCTTTTGAAATATACCTAAGTCTCCTTAAAAGCTTCTTGCCTCCTAGCTAGAGTGGCTCAGTGGTTGAGCATCAACCCAAGAACCAGGAGGTCATGGTTCAATTCCCAGTCAGGGCTCATAATGGCTTTCAGGCTTGATTCCCAGTAGGGGTGTGCAGGAAGCAGACAATCAATGATTCTCTTTCATCATTGATGTTTCTATGTCTCTCTCCTTCTTCCTTCCTCTCTCTGAAATCAATAGAAGTGTATTTTTAATAAACACAACTTCTTGTCAGTAATATGATTCTTAGAATATCTGCATAGAGGGTTTGGGTCAATTGTGTTAAAATGTAATTCTCCTGTTTTTTGTGTCTCAGTCTCTGAGGAAGTGTAGAAGCTCAACTTGGGTGGGGACATTTAAAACCAAGATGTAAAAAATCTTGCTTACCCTCACCAGCATGGCCAAGTTGGTTGGCACTTTCTCCCAAACACTTAAAGTTTGCATGTTTGTCTTAAGTGTTTCCCTCCACATCCTGCATGATTCAGCGTTCGGGTCTGGAAGAGGAGCCGCACACAAATGAAATAGAAAAGACACAAGATTATTTGGGAATATGGGGGACCAGGCGAGCAAGTCCAACTCAAGAAGAAGGACTTCCACTGTGCTCCAGCCTCACCAAGCTTTTTATAGTGAGAGGTAAACAAGGTTGTGGTAACCATAGTTACACAGTTCTTGTGAGTTTCACTTGTTTTGACAATGGTTAAACTTCCTGCACTTCCTCAGCCCATTAGCTTCCCAGAGAAAATCTAGGGAGTGTTATAAGGTCAAGCCTGATTATGCTAAGAGGACTGTGGCCTCTAAGCCAAGACTTGTTTGTGACTTTGCCAGCAGGTCAGTCCAAGGCTTAACCCTATATCAGTTTCCCACATCTCACCCTTTTTTTATTATTAAGCTACTATAACTTACACATCAAGAACAAAACTCTGGCTACTAAACAATAACAATGCCAATCCGTAACCAAAAACATTTTAAAACTTAATCATTACATTTCAAGAACAAAAAATGTCCCAATTTCAATGTCCAACAGTTCTGAGTCTAAGTTTCAATGTCCGACAGTTCCTTATGTGTACATGTCAGTAATGATATTTTAGTTCTGGATGGTGGACAAATGGTGGCAATGCAGGTCTGAACTTCTTTGGTTTGATCCTGGGCAACCTGCAGTGACGCACAGCTGCTGACTGCTAGCATGGCAAAACGTCATCAGTGTCTCCATCTCTGAACTGTCTTTCCTCTTGTCTTCATGGTTGGAGCATTCCTGAGAATTCCTCTCTGTTTCAGGAATCCACATGGTCTTAGAGTTGTTTTCTGAAAATATACAAATATATTCTCGACCGAAGGTTAATAAAGGGAATTTTACTTGGGATCCTTTTTATATTTGCTCAAATGATTTTCCTTTGGCTTATTTTGAGACCATGTGTGTTTTCCTGGGTGTCTCGCTGTTAGTATTATAAATGAAAAAATTTTTCTAGATGTAATTTAGTTACAGGATATTTTTCCTTACATGGTATTGTTCCACTATCCCCCCTTGTTTGAATTAATTATTAGGAGAGTTTTGGAAAATTTTTATAATGCAGTCTAGATAACTTTATATTTTATTTTTTGCACAAAAATATTACTGTTTTAGGTTTATTGTATGTTAAGCAATTTTTCCATGAAATGAAAATTTTGGTTAATACTTCTTGAGCCAATTTTAAACTGAAAACCTGACTGCTATTTTACTGTCAAATTTAATACTTTAAAAACAATCTTAGTTTACCCTGTAAATGTTAATGGAAAGGATTATTTTGCATCCTTGAGAAAGCCTTGAGCATTCCTGGTGTTAGGCTGGTTGTAGATATAGGGTAGCTGTTGTCAGCCAAGTCTATTTCTGTTACATGGGTCCCGATATGAGCTGGGCGTGGGAAGCGCAGCAGCCATGGGGCAAGAGACCTCCCTCAGAAGGGGTGAGTGTTCAAGCCCCTGCATAGTTGGGGGTGGTGAGGATCTGTGCCCCACCTCTGTTGACCCCCAAGTTCACTTCTGCTGGCCCCTCTGCGACTGTGCCTGTCTTAGGTTGTTCCTCTCTGAGGAATCTTACCTGTCTTTGACTAACCAGCCATCCTCTGGGGCCAAGCAGGGTGATGTGAGGTTCAGTTCTGTCTCCTTGGTAGCCTATGCCCCTGTGGCCTCCATGCCCAGCAATTGCCTAGGGATCCCCTTGCCTGCTGGCGGGGCCCCGGCATTACACATATCTTGGGGAACCCAGGTTTCTTCTCCAGGGAGGGCCCAGCTCATGCCATTGGGCGAGAGACAGATCCATGGCACCAGCCACCACGAGGCTCCAACCTCAGGATGAACAGAGCTCAGGCAACAGCTGTAGGCAATTGAATTGTGAGAAGAGGGACCCTCTTGGCAAAAAGGGCAAGAGAGGTCAATACAGAATGCTCAAGTGACTTCTCAGGGAGGCCTTCCACACAGTAGAAGGGATTAAATCCTTTCATGTCCTTATTAAATTTCTGCCAAACATTCAAAGAATTAGTTTGTATGGGATAAATGTACAATAATGACATTGTAGAACAATATCATGTAAGGATATTCTTTGCTCTAGGCCATGGCAATTCAATTTTAAACTGGCTGTCAATTTCTTTTTGTACAGACAAGCTCTTAGTTACATTTTCCTTGACCTGTTGTACAAAATGAGAAGTCTGAACAGTCTGTACCATAGATGAAACAGCAATGCCCACAGAAGTAAGTAACTTTACGAGGGCAAAGATTCCTGCAATTAACATTCCAAGAAATCTTTTTTGTCTTTTTAAGATTTTTTACTAGATCATGCAACAGTTCATAGGTTTGATGAGATTCCCATGGTTAGTTAAGTTAGTGGGAACCCAAACAAAAGCTGGTTGTTTTAAAATCATGAGGGAGTTCTTTTGAACAGTAGAATTGATACAATGGGATAATGTACAATCTGTGCATGACACCTCATACAGATGGCTTGTAACATTAAGATGCATCTGAATGGGGCCTAATAGGAGCACAAACGGATCAAACACACAGGCAGTAGCAAACACTGTCTTATTGAGAGTTCCTCGTAAAGCAAAAATGGAACTATTTGAGCTATAATTGAAACTATACCATTTTATAGGTGCAAGTGCAGCAGCTAATTTCCACTGCGTACTTTGTAGAGGCCAGCTGTCATGTTGTAATTGAGGCCCAACAAAGTCTCCTCCATGAGATGGAGTGATTTTCTTTAACATATAGATAGGATGCATGCCCTTTCCATTTAAGGGTGTGGTTGTTACTATACAGAGAACCATAAGGGCTCCAGTCTATAAAGAAAAAACATTATTAAGTTTGCTGGTGGTAGCATAATTACTAAAACAGTCTTTCCAATTAACTTCTTCCTCAGTGGGATTCCATACATAAGACCATGTACGTAAAGGCTTACTGGCGGGGTGCCTGAGCACACTTATATTTTCTGCACCTTTCCCCGGAACATGTATTTGAGCCATTTCTTCCTCGTTCTTTGGGGTCCAGGCTGGCCAAAAACCTCTCTTTAATTTTACACACAAGGGAGCAGTGGCTTGTTTTAGAGTCATACAGAAGGGAATCTGGATGGCAACAGCTGTGTAATAATACTTTGTCCATATGCTCCCTTGCCCCAGCTGTGGTCCTCCTGGAAGGATGAGCCCATGTAAGGGTTCTTACCCATGAAGGGTCAGGAGTATAAATCTGAAATACTGCCACATTTGCC